TGTGTGCTGGGAAAGTGACGGTCTCAGAACGCGGCAAGTCTTTAATTCCGACAGCAGCGTTAAACTTTGACTGAAAAGGTGTTTGTTTGCATTTTTGAAATTATTTTTGCTTGGCGAAGAGGACCACTGCCTTCACCACCTTGTCAACAATACCTAATATGGTCTTTAAAGGCGCTGCTTCACATGCTCAAAGACTATATTTCTCCAAGTCATTTATGTTTGTGCGTTACATTTCTCAATAACACCTTCAATTTCCCCCCATAGGGCTTGCATTGATTTGGAAAACTAGACTAAGAAAAATGGAAGGGCTCTCAATACACTTATATCTTTTAAAAGAGCAACAAAGGCGTTTAATCTTGAAGTAGAAAACCATTAACTCCATAGTCATAATTTTAGAAATATTACAGATTTTTTTTCAACTGCTTGGCATTTATTCAGTTTCATTCTTTTATGAATTACTCTCAGGATAGATATCACAGCTCCCGCATTAAGTATGTTTGTGCTTTGCTGGAAATACACTGAGCTGTCTATTCAGAGGTGTGTGAATAAAGAATTCAGAGAGCAAATGAGAGGATGTCAAACCCTCGCCCAGCTCCTCTGTCTCTCTCTTTCTCTCTCTTTTTTCTCTACGGCTTTCCTTTTCCGACCACTACAGCTTTTGGAGCAGCTGGCAGACCTGTCATATTATCTTGGCTAGTAATTATTCATGACATTTGTCCTACGCTATTCCATAGCCCTGATTTCAAACATAGGAGAATCAAAAATGGACTAAGAAAAAAAAAAAAAGACAGGCAGTGAGGTGAGTTCCATTCAAGTCAAGAAGAAGCTGGAGTTGGGTTAATATCAAAATAAAATTCTATTTATAAATTTTCTATGAGAATAAAATACTGAAACGAAAGAAGCAAGTGTCCATTATGAGTTTAAAAATGGTGTTTCTTAAGAATACTTCAGAGATTTCATATTTGATTAAATTATTTTTAATCATTTCATTTTTCATTAGTAAAAAGATTAGAAATGAATTAGGTAAAAAACATTACCATAAAAATGAGAACTAGTTTCCTGAGATAAAGTTAGAAGATGAAAGGTCCAAAAGTTGAAAAATGTGACATATTTTAGTTATTAAATAGAAATAATGTGCTGAAAGCAATTAATTAGCAAATGTAATGATATTGCAGTAGGTTATGGCAAAAAGAATGAGACAAAAATCTAATTTCCTAACTGGTCAGTGAGCAATGGTTATTGATCAACCATCTATGTGTAGTTGATTTTATTAAGTGCCAAGTAAAATAGGAAATCTTAAAAAGTAATGATTAAAAAGATTAAGTCCATTAAACCTTTCATCTTAGTGTATAAGCATAATGAATAAATGGGGACTTAATGTGAGGAAGAGAAAGTGACTCTCAGACCATATCTTGCCGTCTTTGTGGCTTGCCATGTAGACGATGTCTGCCGGATCCTTTGTTGCTCCTTTCTGGTGGTACGGATCAGACCCAGGACCTCACCTGTACTGAACACATCCTCCACTTCCGAGCTACACCTGGAGCATCAGGATTATATTCTTAGATGTTAAAGTATGGCCTTTGGAGTCAGGAAAACATGGAATCTAATCTTGTCCCTGATGCTTTCTGTGTCGGGGAGTCCCCTCACTTCTCTCCCTTAGTTTGTTTTTCTGAAGTATCAGAACACTAATTCCTGACAGGGCTGATAAGACAACGTTAATGCAGCTCTTAGCTAAGTACACAGCGTGGAGCAGGGTTCAAGATGTGGTGGCCCTGTTGAGGTTCAGGTTGGAAACTGACCTTAGGAGAAGATTTGCACCTTGCTAATAGTTCTGACTTCAACATTTGGCTTCTGGAAAGTGTGTAAACCAATATAAAATAAGCACTGACCTATTTTATTTTCTATATTCATATGTATCATTGCAGATGAGTCAGTTTCTCTATTCTGTGTTTCTTATTTTAGAAAACATAAAAATGACTAAAGCCTTGTGATTTTAACCTATTATTCCATCTCAGATTTAATTCTTGTAGTGAGATATGTAGTAGACTTCCCCCGTTTATTAAACATCTCCAGATAGATGCAAAATAAAACAGTTATATTTGTGCATAATTAGCTATTTTAACAATGGCTCAAATCAGAGTCATCAATATTTAGCCTTGCTCCAGATGTTGGGGCAAACGAAATGGAAGCATTGCAGTCTTGATTGGGCAGCTAAGTGGCATTTAGCGAAAGAACTTGGATATTTGAAATTATAAACTCACTCAAGCCCTTAATCAGCTAAATTAAAATGTTTCATTTTGAGCCATTTAATAACATGGATACCAAATACCTGCTGACGTGTTCTGTCATCCCAGCATTTCTTAGACACTCCTAGACACTGGTGAGGTGATCTCAGGTGAGTTTGTCCTGTGCTTAATGAGGAATGACTTCTTCACGTAACAACCACAGAGAAGACACAGCCTAAAAACTTCCCATCAGTGCCTTCCAGCACCCCCAAACCCACTCTCAGATCACTACATATCCTAGTTTGACCTCTTGCAAAGTTCACGCTTGCCTTTTGTCTAGTGTTATGATATGTCCTCTGTGGCCTGCTTTGTGGAGACAGCTCCCTTTTCAGTTGTTTCCAGTCATGTATCTTTAAGACACAAATGCCATAATGTAGGAAAGCCATAGTTTTTTATGTTCTTAAAGGCCAAGACAGTGTCTGCAACTTAAAAGGCATTATTTTAGTGATTTGGTCCTCAAATGGTCAGAAAGAATTTAAGTTCTTCTGTCCTGAGAGGCACTGGAGAGGATGCTGATGCGGGGACATGGGGAGAACACTGAGCCGGAGCAGAAGGGTAGTCTCTGTAGCAGTTGGAGACTATCAAGGAAAAAGGGGATCTTTGCCGGACAAGCACCTGGCCTTTCTCTCCTTCTGCACTCTGTCCTCCAATCTGCTGTCCCTGCTTGCTCTGGATGATTGCAGCCAGAAGGCAGAAGATAAGGAAGTTCACAGAAGTGAGCTCTGCATCTCACGAAGTAGGGGACAAAGAAAGGAATGCCAAGCGAGTCGAGCAAGAAAGGTCAAGTAGGAAAGATCCAGCTCATGGGAGATTCTAAGTTTCTCTGTCCTAGCTAACAGGATTCTGGTTACACCAGCCTGCTTAGTGTATGGCATTAGTTCAGTGTTTACTCATAGGCAGGAAATGGTGCTGAAAATTGGATAAAAGGAATGGCCTTGGCCTAATCTATCAAGGCAGATGATGCAAGCCTCCTGCTTACAAAAACTGAATCTCTTTTTGTCTCTATGGGGGTAACTTGAAGGGGAGGGAACAGGTAGGAATCCAGGCTGGCTGAAAGCCAGTTGCTTAGTGCAAGGCTACCAGTATTTAGACATCATCAAGTCTGCTTGTATACACAGACTGAGAGGAAGCCTTCTCTGGCCCTGAACATTGAGAGCAGAGCATCTCCTTTGATCTCCAGAAGATAATTGGTTGATTTGTTTATGCTCTTAGATGCAGCCTGCAAGTAGAGTGTAGAAGATTGGGACACCATCCTATTATTGAGCCTCTATGCCGTTCTTGTGTCTCTGTGGCCTCATGCCACACTCTCATTTGAGAATGCGCTCTCCGTGATGACTTCTACAGTCAATAAAGAACTCACTTTCTGCACAAAGCCCACTGAGCCTATCGTAGCTCCTTAATCACAGGAGATGCCCAATACGTACCTTCTGGAAAGGATGGATACGTTCATCAATGTTCTTTCTGATCATACTAAAAGCCACTCAGTTTCTAAAGAGTTTCATGAGGTTTAGAGTGTTATGAAAGGTATACTTTATTCTGTATCATCAACCAAAGCAGCTTTGTTGTACTGAATTCAAAATGAGTGATTTTTTTTTATTTCTTAAAGAATGGATTTTGGCTTTTCTCATTCTCCTTACCTTTATTCCAGGTTTTAGAATTAATTTCTATATTGAATTTACAAATGAGGGGAGGGGCAAGGATACTAATGGTTTCCTAAAACTTATACCTTATATGTCTATCTTTAAAGTTACAAGATATAGTACATTTTTATATTTATATAGAGATTCAAGTTCAAATAGAGATCTGAAAGACTAAGTAGAATGTAACTATAGGATGCTTCAAAGAAAGGTAGACAGGCCATTTAAACTCAGATGTTAGCACTGTTAGGTTCAAAATCTAGTAGGCATGACTTCAGTATTGTTTTTGTTTGTGTCTCTGCACTGCACCTCTTCGTATTTATAATATTATAAAATCAAGATGCTGAAATCTAGAGTTTTTGCTTTAAAATGCAGTTGTATGTTTCCTCTTTCACTGCATCTCAGTTCTTTTCAAGACATACAGGGTTTGTTTGCTTGCCTGCTTGCTTTTACTTTTCTTGTGAAGTGAAACCATAAAATTATGAAAACTTACCATAGTCATCCAAGCATAAGTTTAACTTCACAGTATCTTCTGTTGTGATGAATGGAGTCGCCAGCTTCTATCACATGCTAATCATTTAACTGGGGCTCTGATAACTTCTCTTTAAGAGAAAGAGCACCAAGTTTTAGAAGCATAACAGGAAGAATAGAAGTCTCCCAATAATGTAATCTCACCCCAAGACAGGAAAGCACTTTACTCTATGATATTTAATTTGGTTTTCTGTATTATGTTTTTTAAAATTACAATTTGGAAATAAGGCCACTATGGCTTTTTTTGTATTCAAGGTATTCAGAAAAACTATACATTGGTATCTGATATTTTCTTATAAAATAATAGTAACTGCAAGGTGAGATGTATATGCAAATGTTTGTCATTATTTACATCACTTAACTTCATTTACTTAGTGACGAATATTGATAGCTTTCTTTAATTTTAAGCTACAATAGATATCAAAATAATTACTTGTGGACATTTTTTGCCAGTGAATTAGAAAATATGTGGCAAAGACATTTCCTTACCAGATTTCAATGTCACAGAACTTTGGTCATTTCTCTTTCCTCTGTTGTTGTGTTTCAGCTGAGGATGAAGGGTCCCAGCAGCCAGCAGAATCCGATGGGGACAACCATTCCGACAAACCTGGGCAGCCTGGAGTGGACACAGATGACTGGGATGGCCCAGGTAGGACAGAGAATAGTACATTCCACCCTCTTTCACTGTTTAGCAGAATCTCACAATTTCCCCTCTAAATTTTAGATTGAAAGGGGAGGTGGGAAAATAAAAATATAGAGAGCTTGTAAAACTTAAAACAAAAATTCAACTTGGATTTAAAATCATACATGGACTTGTGTGTGTGCATGCATGCTGATAATATAGGAGTTTGAGTCAATATCATTATTTAAATAAGAAAACTTTAAAAACCAACATCATCTCAGCTTGAAGTCTCTGTCTTTTCTTCTTTCACTCTTACATCAAGTTAGTCAATTCTATTGCTTGCTGTTTCAACAAAGAATCATTTAGCTACATCCAAATTCAAATCGGACTCAGTTTAAAAGCTTGCAAATCAGACAGTAACAATAATACTTCAAAGACCTGTCATTTCCGTTTAGTTCTGTTGTAAGTTACAGATGGGGCCTCAGCATTTATTTAGACATTGAGTCACAAGTCATAGATTTTTCGCCTCTCATTCAATGTTCTAGCAACATTGTCACCTTTATTAGTCAAATATAATTGGTTCTTAAAAGGTTTGGTATTTGTTCATTTTAGGTAAAAAAAAGGCTAATCAAAATTTAATATAAATAAAAGTCATAAATATATACTGCTTATAATAACACTGTAAGAAATAACCTGATTGATTATTGCTGAGCAATTTATGATGTCCTTATAAATGGAGACCATTGTCTTTTAGGATTTTAGGTTATAAGTGAGTTTTGAAATAGTTTCAGCCTTAATTTCCAGAGCAGTAAGTACCCTTTTTCATTAAGAACAATCACTATATTTCAATCCCATTTTCACCCTTGCATGACTTTGCAAACCGCTCTCTGCTGTGCAAGGGAAGGAGAGGAAATCCACTGCTCATTTTCTGAAACCAGCAGCTGGAAAATATAATGCAAACAAAAATGAAGATGCAGTATATTGATTATTATCATGTCATTTCTAATGTTATTCATGATACATACAAATGTTTGCAGTCTACACACTGGAGCATCATGCCATACAAGACCCTGCACCCAATTTTATTATATTTTAAAATACTATTGAACCATGTTTAAAGGTATTTTAATGCACTGATTTAAATGCAAACTTCTGGTGTTTGTATTCTTGTGTATATTTTTTTCTGACTTCTCAACGTGGGGCAATTTCCTTAGAATAATTGGAAAGTATTTTTTTTAAAGAAATACCTCAACTTTATTATGAAGCTTCAATACAACATGAAAAGAGAACAGGATCTTTTATCTTATAGTTATTTATTAATAGGATTGAATATTTGTATTTAGAAAATATTTTGCCTGTGTGGTTAGACTGGGCGGGTTTTAGGTGTTTCTATTTTGATACATCAGTCACACATCTGCTTTGGGCACGCTTCTGGAATCCAACTTGCCTTCCCAGTTGTGAGACAATAAGAAAACAACAGTGTCCTAAGCTGCTGAGCATGCACAGCAAAGCTAATGCCATATTTGGGAAGCTTTTACAGAAAGGATACTGTTGTCAAGGAAACATTAATAGTAATTGGAGGTGTTGAGTAGAGAATGGTGCTTGTGAAATGAAGTCAATGGACCTGCTACAGGTGTGCTGTTTAGTTTCCATTAAAATTAACTTACGTATTTCACTGAATATATTTTTTTATGTTGTGGATTTGGTCTAGACATTGCTGTGTTCTGTACTATTTATATAGTGATATATTAAAACTTTAATGGAAAAGTACATGTCTTTTTGATGCTGATAAGACTCCATTCCTGTATATTATAAGGTGAGTAACACATTTCTCTCCATAGCTACTTCTGGTAGGCCAGACTGTGTCACTTTGAAACTCCTTGAAATTATGAGGTTAGCCCATGACAACAAAGTCTCTTTGATGTTCATTCCATTTCCAGTAGCATGTTCATTGATTTCATTCAACTGGGAGAGTCTATGAAAGAAAGATAGACATTGTGTAACCTTTTGCTACTGAGATATCAATTGTTTAAACATTGGTAACGGTAATTTTTTTTGCTCACTGACGTGTGCTGGCACTTTATACCTGTGTGGAAGAGAAAAACTTGCAGCTTTTGGTGACGGTTCCAAACTCAGTAGCTCGTGCATCTGGATATCAAACTATGCCCTAGGTCAGGATTAGCTCCCCCTTGACTTGTCAATATCTAGCTGGGAGATCTGTGGAACACTGCTTAGTTTCTTGGAGCTTCATGCATTTGGAAAGTCGAGAAAAGATTATGAACGTCTCCAAAACTGCAGCAGCTCATAATCATAAGGCGCTAATGATGTTTTTCCTTACAGTTTTGCAACTATTATGTGTCAAAGGTTTTTAAAAATCTCACAGAATATCTAAGACCCCAAGGGGTAAAGTTAGGTGGTTCTAAACATTAGTTTTCTGTTTGTCACAAGTCATTGTTTGAGACATCTAGCACTAGCACTGAGCCAGGTTGTTTTCAAGGTCTCCTAATTTCACACCCCGACTTCCCAGTGCTGACACTCATCGTAAGGAGGACAGTTTTCTATAAAAATAGAAAAGAATCAGAGGATGTAAAACTTATCTAAGGAATTCGAAGCATAGTACTGACATCATTGAAGATGGATCAGGAGTTATCTTATTCTTATGGAGTTTGATTGAAGACCATGGCATAACCTTTTTTGACAGCTCGGTTCAATAATGAATCAACCCTGCCTGAGAGATTCTATTTCTATAAAATGCAAATCCTCCCATGTAAGAAAGTTATCCTTTGTTTGTCATTCAGAGGAAAGGAATGCTCAGAAGTCAGAACTATTCACACCTTTGCTAACTTTTAAGTGGAGCCTAAACAATCAAAGGAAGTCATGTTCCTCAGTAGTCAGACTGCGGAGCTCTTCAGTGTTTGTAAACCTTATGGAAGCAGCAGCAATCGTTTACGTCTGGAAAGCTAGACGCACACTCTTAGTCAGGCCAAAGTAAGAGTCATTACCTCATCATTTCAGCATTCCATACATCTCATTTCCAGGTCCTTTGTTTTCCTTGCTCTGAAAGATGTTATCCTGACACGTCCTGTGGCGTGTGCTATCCAACGGTTGCTGCTCACTCCTAGTCCCCTGTTCACAAGTACTATTCTTACCTTGTGTGTCCTCTTTCAAAGTAGCGTCTCTTTTTCGTCAACCTCATGGATTTTATATTTTTTCTATGTCACAGGCTCTTCATTTTACCAACATCTCTATGTATTTAATGCCATGTTTAATCCTTCAGTGGATATTTATCATGCATTGATGGGGAAGGACCCCAGCAAGCCATGTAAGGATGGTACACTACTCTGTCTGCATGCTACCCTCTTGGCACCAATTCACTCCTTTAATTGGTCATAGACTGGTCACAAAAGCAATAATTAAACCTCCTTTATTCTTGAAAGTAGACCATAGTGTCTGCTATGTATGTTTGAAGTGTTTACATAGTTCAGAGTCAGACAGACCATGACAATAGTACTATTTATGGCCTCGTAGGTTGGCTTGTTAAACAGACAATCCTCAGTTTCCTTATCTCTGAAATGGGTATAACAATAGCTGCTGAGCAATGTTTTTATGAAGATGAACTTTGAAATGGATAGCCTGCACAGGGTTTCCATCCCCTTGCTCGGGAGCATCCAGTGTTGGCCGCCTTCTTCCTCCTGCATGTTACCCCTAGGGAAATATTTTAACTGCGGTCCTCTTAGACCAGTCAATGGTGGAAATATTGACCTTATTTTGGAAATATTGCTTATATCTCTGTCTTTTTCATAAGAAAGTCTTCAGAACTGCTTTGCAAGGCTGGTCTGGAGTACTGATCTGTGGACTGGGATTTAGAAACTTTGTAGCAAGGTTCAGCAGCATCCTATAAATCTGTTGCCATCTCTGAGGGAAGTTTGGTGACAGTCAGGCCTCACTTACATCAACTCAGGACTCTGACAGGTCCCATTCTTACAACTTGACTTCTCACACTTGCGGATAGCGAATAATTGGCTTCTCTTTCATAATACAAAAGAATATTACCATAATGTATAATGGTAGTGTAAGTTTTTAAAACTATGTGTTCATAGATACCTACCCAGATAATATTTTTGACAAAATGGCTATCTGCCTTTCTGACACAACTGTTGGTTAAATAACTCTTGATATTTAGCTATTAAACCTATATGATCATATTGACAAAATTAAGCAAAAAAATCAGTCCTGAATTGACAATTTAATAAATAAAAAAATTACTTGGTAATAACTTTTGAAATTATATATTATAAAACATCAGAACTTTTTGCTGTCGCAGGTAAGTTATTTTGGGATAATGTCATGAGCTGTATAGCAAAAATATTTTCTCTGTGTATTTCTTGTGTGGCCTTGCTATAGCTAATAATATGGCTCAGAGCAAGTTAATACTGCCTGTGGCTTTAGTGCTTACAAATCAGGCTAATAACAATAACTCTCTCATTAATGAGATTTTACATGGAAAGCATGGAGCACAGTGTCTCAGAAGCACTCAATAAATCACTCTTAATATTGATTTTCCTGTCATGTTGGCCATTGGGCCTCAGTAGCTGTTACAATGCTTTCCATAGAAGTCTTCATTAGACATTAGTACAGGGAATTAATTTTACAAAATGATCTTGCTCTATAACTAAACATCATAAAGTTATGTTTACTCTGTTCTCATCTACCTGACTTGAAACATAATTCAGCTAAAAAAAATTTTTAGTGTCAATAAGTTTTGAAAAACAATTGCATAGAAAAAGTTAAGTGTGTATACTTGTTGCACAGAGACTAAACATTGTTTAGGAGATCCTTACTAAGTTATCTCTTATGCTTTTGTTCAGTACTTTGAACGTATGATGCTGATTGGGCTTTTTCTGTTTTGTGTCTAAATGAACCTAACAAGTCGGGAGCTGGTTTGCATCCAGTGGAATGCTAACTCAAAGACCACTGTGAGACAGAAGCACCCGCTTCATGATATAGGTCCCCCATCCCCAACCCCC